AATGGATATGCCAGCCTAATCATAGGTTGATGAGAGGCGTTGATCTCTGCCAATGTGCCAGGTGGTCCAGTTGATGAGAGTGACGACGTGGTGAGTCGAGTTGAAGAGCGACGTGTAGGACTAATTGGAGTCGAGAGCAGGACGGGACGAAGAGTAGATACTGGAACCAAGACCAAGAGTCAGGGAAATAGGGGTTTATATGGAGGCTAAAGGATCCACCCCTGATGTGAAGGAATGTTCCTCCCTTCCGGTGATGAAGACCCAAAAGGCGCCAGACAGGCGCGTTAAAAAAAAGTTGTTGACCAAGAAAAGGATGGAATCGGAAGGAACGTAGATTGTTGAATAAGATTAAGATGGGGTAGGGGAAGGATTACTGTAGTGAGTCATAAGAAGGAATTGAAAACAGCATAAAAACTATGCATAACATATTTGTCCTATTTATACGAAGGTGCGTTTTTTTCACAGTTCCCCGCAGATTTTTGTCGCTAACGGCACTGTTTTTTTACCGGCAGATGCTTCTAGTTAAAAGAATTTCAGACTGGCCGCCAGGACTGACAGGAAGCATCCCTTCAAAATTCCAGACTTCTATCTTCTCAGGTTCCCGAATAAGCAACTTACTCGAAAAAAAAAATTCACGGGCCCATATGTGAGAATCACGCATACCCGAAAGCTGAGTTTGAACTCATTAGGGCCTACGCGGACGGGGAACATCCCCTTAAAATTCCAGTTTTCTAGCTTTTCAGGTTCCCGAGTTAGCAATTTACCTAAAAAAAAAATTCACGGACCCATATGTGAGAATCACGCATACCCGAGGGCTGAGTATGAACTCATTAGGGCTTACGTGGACGGGAAACATTCCCTTAAAATCCCAGTTCTCTAGCTTTTCAGTTTTCCGAGTTAGCAACTTACCCGAGAAAAACTTCCACCGTCCCGTACGTGGGAACCACGCATACCCAGTGTCTGGGTTTGAGCTTATTAAGACTTGCGTGGACGGGGAATAACCTCTTAAAATTACGGTCTTCTAGCTTTTCAAGTCCTCGAGTTAGCAACTTACATGAAAACTTTGACGAGCCTGCACATAGGTACCACGCATACCCGACGGCTGAGTTTGAGCTCATTGAAACTTACTTGGACGGGGAACAATCCCTTAAAATTTCAGCTTTCTAGTTTTTCTGGTTCCCAAGTTAGTGACTTACTCGTAAAAAACTTTCACGGCTGGTACGTGGGTACCACGCGGGTAACAGCGCCCATTCTGTGGAATGGGGCCCGTACATGTATACAGATTAAATTCCCAAAATTCCAGCCCCGTAGCTTTTGTAGGTCTTGAGATGAAATACCGTGACAGATGCACACACAGACACACAAACAGACAACCCCTCGTCAATATGCGTTTTCTGCATTGCATAGATGCAAAAAAACATATAAAAACAGGAAAATCAGAACTATAAGGGAATGTTCCCTACTCAGGTATGGCTGAAAGATTTCAACCGTCTTATGTGTATAACATGTAAAAATTCTGGCGGAATTGCTAACTCGAAAACGAAAAGCTGGAATTTCAAGGGAATGTTCCCTACTTATAAAAGATTTCAAATTCAGCATAGAGTTGTGCGAGTGTCACGCAGGGACACGTGAAAGTTCTGGCAGGAGAACTTTTAATTCAGGAACGG